TACTCTAAGTCAAGGACTTTCCAAGTTTCCCATGCTGTGCCAGCCAGCAGGTGAACAAGAAGCTGGGAAGGAGCTCAGCCAGGACAGCTGACCCACACTGGCCAAAGGGATATTCCCTACCATGGAAGCCAAGTGGCCAGGAGGTATTTACTGCTGCTGTGGGATGGGCTGGGCATCAGACAGCAGCTGCTGTGCAGTTGTATTTGGCATCTCTTGTTTCTCCTGGGTTTTAATCCTCTCTCTCTTTTACATTTAATTATTTTTATTTTACTTACTTTCAATTATTAAACTGTTCTTGTCACAATTCATGGGATTTAGCTTTTCATGATTCTCCTGCCCATTCTCCTGGAGAGTGTGCATGAGAGGCTGAAGGGTATATAATTGCAAGCAGGGGTTAAACCATGACAGGCCTATACAGAAAATAAGTCTGAAAGCATGGTTTGAATATAGCCAGAAAGAATTCTATCAAGTCCAGGAAGCTGTGTGTGCCTGTTGATGATGTAGTGCACAGGGAGACACTTCAGAGCAGGCTGCCACATGGATGGGAGGCATGCTGTGATCCCAGCTGCTATGAGGACTGCTCACGAGAAGCAATGCAGGCATGACCAGTAGGAGCTGGCACTGCTCTTCTCTGTAGCACAAGTCTTTTTTCTCCCTATGGGCTAAGTTTTCTTCCATCTCTGTATTTTCACATATATAGCTATGGAGAACTAGGCTTCTGCAAACATTTCAAAACTTAGTATCTAAGTAAATCATGGGGAGTATTTTAATACAACTGGCAGGCCCAGCTGGCATTGATTCTTTAGTCTCTGAACATATCTAGAAATGTATCCCTTGGGCACTTTTGAAAGTTGGCTACTTTTCTGCATGCACATAAACACACACACACTCATGCACACGCACACACACACATACAAATATGTGTGTGTTTATGTATTTATTGGGTAATAATCTGTAATGCTAACTTACAAAAGATAGGAAACTATCTTTTTATCTGAGCGTTCTTCCAATGAAAATGTTCACTAGAAGGTTCTCTGGCTAAAGATATGAAAAACTAATAGTTTCAGACAGGCAGTGTCAAATGGGCAGAGCTTCTCCTCAACCTGGGGAGATGCTTTTTCCATGCTTTGATGGATAAGGAAGGAGTAAAAGCAGTATCTGCTCCCAGACTGTGGAAAGAAAATACTAAACAAAGAGAAAAGATAACTCTTGACTAAACAAATTTTAGATTAGTTTCTCATATGCACAGTAGTGTTGTTCACATTTTATACCTTGCACTAGATTTTGTTTCAAAGTGAAAAGGCAAATGAATTAATACCTCAGCAGCTATGATAAAATCACTTTTTAACCAAAGCTGAAGTTAATTTGGAAATTCGTAGGACACTTCAATATGAATGTGTGTATATACACATATACACTATATATATATATATATATAAAATATATATATATATTATATATATGTATATAATTTCCTTGAGATGCACCTTTGTAAGCTGAGGGGCCTGCATCTGCAAGATGTTTCTCATTATTATTCATGAATGCCTTGGTGCTGCCCTTTGGACGCTTTCCCTGGGGAAGAAATGCTAGAAAGACACTGTGGTAGTAAAACAGATAATAAATACCATTTTGTCAGTGCTCAGTATTTTTAGAAATTAATTTCTGTACACATTAGAGAACTGAATATCTTTAGATATCTTTACATAGTTTGGAATGCTCAGCTCAGTAAACTAGCACCCCCCTCTGTTGCATGCTATCTAGGTGTATACATGAGGACACCTAAGTACCTGTTCTTTAAATGTACAGATTCCAATCTATATGGAATCACAGAATCATAGAATATTTTGGGTTGAAAGTGGACTTTAAGGGTCACCTACTCCTACCTGCCTGATGTGGGTGGGGACACTTAACACTTAACCAGGCTACTCAGATCCCCATCCAACCTGATCTTGAATATTCTCAGAGTTGAGGTATCATCTCTTGGGCCACTTGCATCCGTTTTCTATCACCATCATTGTAAATGCATTGAATTGCCTTTTAATGTAGACATAGATAAACTTTTTCCTCCATTTGATATGGCAAGTAGCACATCTTATCTTTTCACATATAATTTAATATACCATGTATTTTTTCTCCTTTACAAATATGTATAGTGAGTAGGTAGGAATTCAGTAACAACGTAATATGGGATTGTGTATGTGTGTGTTGTATAAATATCATTACATATATATATATAAACATATATATCTGGAGTGATATTGAAGGCTGTAATCTACTCAAGTAAGCTAAATGAGTTTAGGGCTTTCTTAACACTGACACAAAACAACCTATGTCCAAATTATTTTAAACTGCTGACATCTGAAACACGAAGTTTGCTTTTAAACCATCAATTAGCATGGGCAAGGGTCCTTGCAGGCTCCTGAGCTGCTCCTGCAAGTTTTTTAGGAGAGCAATAGGGGCCATTTAAAAACCTAGCATTAGAAATAACTGGATTTCTGCATATAGAAATATTCCCTAGTGCTTTAATTCACTACTGTGCATGTTGTCAAAGAAATGGCTGATTTGCTTAACTTGAATGTACCCATAACTATGTGGGAAGCATGCGACGATGTACTTTATGCTGTACAACATTTCCAAATGGCATGCAGTTCATCCATTAGTTAATAATCAGAATTTCTGGTGCTAGAGCACTTTGGTGTATGAGTACACATGAAAAAAAAAAAGGATATCATTAGGAAATCCTTGCTGGCATTGGTCTGTACATTATTTTAGCTTGTTCAGCAGCACATGGGATAAAATTTCTTCACTCCACCATAGATCTTCCTATTAGCAAATTAAGAGGAAGAAATGGGTAGGTAATGAAAAATTTGTGGTTTGAAATGTTCAGAAATGAAGTTCAGTATGACATGTAATTGCATTAGCTTGTCACAGATTTATGCGACATATTGATTAGCTAATGGCAATAAAAAGAAAAAAATAGGATGCTGAAGACAGTCTGTGATATCTAAGCTAGAGACACTCTGATCCATCACTGATTTGTGAGATCCTGAAAAGGAGGACATGATAACATTAATAAATCCACAGCAGAGAAAAAACTCATATGCTGACACTAATTTTACCATGCTCTTTATGGAAATGTGTGCTGGGGAAAAGAAAGTGTTTTACAGAAGAAGACTGACTGTATGAACAAGGGCATGAGTATCAGAAATGCTTCTGGATTGTAAACATGAGAAATTCTGTAATAATATTTCCATTTGTCTGAATTTTAGAAAGAAGAAACAGCAACTATTTGTTGGAACTCTTAGAAGAGTGAAACGTTTCTTGGCAATCCACTTGATTCTGTAGGTGACTGCTGTATATTTGTGGCAGTAAAAATTCCTGATTTCCTGGAGTACTTTGTTAATTTAGATTACAAGACTCATTCTCCCTGTTTATGTGTTACTTCTGTGGCACTTATGTGGTACAATATGCAGAATGGATATGGGATTTATGCTATAACTATAAGAAGGCATTCAGGGATTGTCTTAAGAGGTTAGTAGGCAATAAACTGAAATGGGGTGACAAACCTTCCTGACCTTGCAGGCTACTCATCAGAAACTTTCTGTGCTGGAGGGCTCTGAGGTTCACATCATGTCTTGGACTAATGAGGAAAAATGGAGCTTTCAAGGCAGTTCACAGGGAGGAGGTGCTAGAGGTACGCTAGAGTAGAACAAGCCAGTAATGGCCTTTCCAGGATTTACTTGTTTGTTTCCTATACAGCTGGGAATCTCTACTGCCTGTTCTAGCATGGCCTCACTCCTAGCTGTGATCATAGGAGCACATAGGAGCTCTATATAGGAGCATCACTACTTGAGAATAAAGTGAGAACAAAAGGTTGACTATAGTATAAGAGAACTTCCTGATTTCAGGAACACCAGATGAAATTCCAGACTTTTTTGTATGTATCCTGTTCCAAACTTTACATAGTAATATATATTACATAGAGGAAAATTTAAAGTTACCAGCTACTCTGACTTCTGATTTAAAGTCTAACCATACAGTGGACACCTTCAGCCACTGGCTTTGCGAAAAAAAAGAACAACCCAAAACTTTCTAATGCAAGATGAGAAACTGATCCTTATAGTGGATATGAATGCAGGAAAACCTTAATTTTTATTCTCTTTTGACCTATAGAAAAAGTACTGATATTATTCCTGATGTGAAAATGCCACCACTGTGTTTCTGCTGTCAAAGTGCTCTTGCAACCACAGCCTAAGAGAAGACTATCAGTCTTCTTTAGCTTACTTGTATGTAAAAGCTGCATAGTCTGCTGTGGTTATGCATTTCACAACTCCTCTGAAAATAATTCTTAAAGATACTGAAAAGCAATTTAAAATATGGTTTGCATAAGAAATTTTTATTGCCTCTTATATTTAAAATCTCTGTCAGGAAACTAGATTTTTGTGTTTAAATCCCCTAGAAAAGCAATCCTGTCCTCATTATCCAAGCCACCAGTCCATAGACAAAGGGTAGAAACAAGAAACAAATTACCACATTGACACCCAGATCTTTCCTATTTTGTGTTGACAGCATTTCATTTATATGATGGTGTATTTTTCCCTTGCAGCTATTGCCTCCTGTTACTCTTTAAGGTAATTGAAGCTGGGCCCAAAAGACCTTAGAGGCTTGTATCTTCTCCTCACATTAGTGACACTTCAGTGATAAACTTGAACTTAAAGTTACTGAGGCGTAACTGAGGGTTCATTTGATAGCTAGTGGTTTTCAGCAGCACTGCAGGGCTTCAGAGGCTCAGCGTGAGCGAGATTGTTAATGTCCTGTGAGGGAAAACAATAACACATTTCATTAATGCGTTCATGTGTGAAGCATCCATTAGTGCACTGGAGGTATTAATGACGTTATGCTTTAAACTGACATGTGGGGCATGACAGGAATTGCAAGTCTGATGAGAACAGATGACAAGATAAGCAAATATTTGAATGGCTTCATTTGCCTGCAGGTCAAACCATGGTGCAGGGGAACTGAGAAAGCTAAAACCTGGGAGAGATTAGTGTTTGCCTAGCATGGACTGAACCACCGGAAAACTTCAGAAAGGTTGTTTATTAAGTAAATAGGGAGGTAAGAACAATAAATATGTAAAACGTACACACTTAATTATTTCTGAGTCTCAGTTTGTAATTTGAGTTAAATTGCTAAAGCCATAACACAATTCAAGGTATAGATATACAGACAAATACTTTGATTTTATGGATTTCTTTCATTTGTCAGTAATCTCCCTCTTTCTGCCTGATGTGGACGTTTAAAATTTGTGGCCAAATTAGGTGCTCACTAAATCAACAGAACCATTGCGTTTTGTGTCAGAACTGAGTTTAGCAATAGGATTTTAATAAACTAATTTGTCTGCAGGCAAGCAGAAGTTGTTAGAGTTGATAAGATTATTATTCTTCTCTCATTGTCATGCACATTCTTTATTTGTCAGGTTTGAACTAGTCATAAATTAGTGGATAAAGGCCTCTGTTCCTCTGTTCTGGACCAGTGCTGGATTGCTGCAGGAGGCTCACAGTGCGATGGATTTGACAGCTGCAACTCAGCCGTTAGATGACAGCAGTGCACATCTCAATGCCATCCAGCACAATTTAACATGAACAATCTGACATGCTTGACAGATCCTTGAAGAAGGAGGAGGAAAAGGCCACTCCTTTGCTACCTCTGATCCAGAATGATTTTGTACATCCAGACTCTTCAGGAGTAACACTCACTAGCTGGCTAATGCAATGAGGTTGTGCATTATAACTTTTGTGTAAGTGTCACTGTGCAAAACCTGAGCAAAAATCTTTTTCATTGCCAGTTGTCTAGGATCTATGAATAAAAGCCTGCACATTTTGTTTTAATATCCTCAACACACCTTTGCCTAACTTATTCATGAATACTTCTCCATGCCTTGCTGTCCTCTGATTTTCATCTTTTATTACAATGTAGTGATTTCCAGTCCAGACCTTTGTGCTTATACATCAGTCAGTCTTGTAATGATTAAAAAACACTAAGCAAATATATCTGACAATTTTTCACACTGAAATTCTGGGAAGTTTGCTCAGAAGTTTCCATTACAACTGTTGTCACAAATATTACTAAAATTTTCCATGAGGACACATTTTTGTGAGAGAAGTGAAAACCCAATAATTTCAATCAGCTGGAGTCTTCAGGAGGTGGGAAAACATACTTTTTTACTCTAGAGATGGCAACGTGGAAAAATATTGTCAAGGACAGTGTGTGTTTTCCTTTTTAATAAGCTTCAGATTTATGTGTACAGCTTGCTTGCTCTTATGCTTGTCTTCAGTAACAAGCTAAGAGAGCATGCTGATGGACTGCACATGAACTTTCTCAAGCTAGTAGTCAAATTTGAACACTGTCCTAGTTCATGGCCATCTACCCTTCAAATTAACTTATGCTGTATCTTCTCCTCAAAGTGCATACTCCAGAAGGAATGGGAAATGGCTGACTGATTTAGTAGATAGGGAAGGGAGTCAGAGCTGAGTTTCACTGAGCTGGTATTTGTCTATTCTTACTCAGGGGCTCCCATAACAGGACAGGTGAGTAGGAGCTGTGAAAGACTGACCCTACAGATTGATCCCTGTGAACCCGGTTTTCAGTGTTCAAAGCAACACATCAGTTTGAGCTTTGTGTTCTGCCTGTCCTTACTTTTTCTGTTCCTAATTTTGCTTCTAAACATCGACAATTTTCTATTCAAGACAGACATTACTGTTTAGAAATTGTCAGTTAAAGGAATGAAAAGAAAGTTTTAATGTATCTACTTCTTAGGGTCCTCTGCATGTCACAGCCTAAACTTACCATGTAGTTTACTTTTAAAGTATTTCCAGTCTGCTCTAAAAATGGAAATGATTTTTTTAAACAGTTGAACTTTGGACTGCTTATTTGAGCTGACCCTCCAAGACTTTACTGATTTCTGTTTCCAGTGCTGACCTAGTGTCTGTGACGGTGATGATGATGAACGGTGGTGTATGATGCTGCTGAACTTTAAAGGATGAAGGCAAGAGCCTAAGATAACAGGAGACCTTTGAGCACAAATTATCCCATGGCAATAATGTGACACTATAGTATTTTCTATAGAAAATTTGACCTTTTTGATGAGGACATGTCTTGAGATGAATAAAAATATGCCAGGTCTGTCCTTTGCCTTTCTTGCTGAAAATGACTGACCGATATTTCTTCCCATAGCATGCCTTATCTAGCAGAAGATAAAGAAGTGACAGTGGAAGAACCTGAATAGCCATAAGCCTACTTGGAAGGTAAGTTGGAGTTATTACAGACATACAGACTATGCTCTGCACTTTATGCACTGAGAAAACTGACTTACAGAACACAAATCTGAGAGTTTTTTTGCATAGCTGCAATAACGCTGTTGCATGATGCATGGTGTGTAAGGTCAGATCAATGAGTCTACCATCAGGGATATAAGTTTGTATTTCAAGACAATAATGGTGTAATATTTATCCTTTTTATGAGGTGGTATCCATGATGCATTCCTTGGATCTCTTACTATAGCTAGTGCTCGTCTGCTTGAAATACTCATTCAGCTGTGAAATCTGATTTAGGAGAAGTGGCTACACAGTCAAAAGTGCTTATGGTAGAATGAGAAATTTGAGTCTTTCCATTCTGTTTTTGAGAATTTAAACAGTATGGCTTTTCTGCTTAATAATTTAGAAATCTTTTTCCTCATAGTCTTCATGAGCATTCATCAAGTTATTAGGCTTTAAGAACACATGACATATACTTTCTATCCTTTTTTTTTTTACAATTTATCAAGTCAAATCTTCTCAGAATAGCTCTCATTTTTTTCCTTTGTAAAATAACTGTGGTTTCTTGGAGTGAGAGATGTATGTCACACTGGTTACTTAGAACTGAAGGTACTAAACATGACTAGCCATTCAGCTGGGTTTCCCAAGTCACTTGCTCTTCTTGGTAGAGTCCTTAAGACAACTGCTAAGAAGCACAAGGATATATTCTCACAAAAACTTTCAGTTTGTTACCAACTGAGAATTTCCAGCTTACATGAAAGGCCTGGCAAATGCTTTCTTCGCCTTCACTATTTGTTTTAAAATGAAAGTTGTCAACTAAAAAAGAAAGTCAGATTGACAATTCAGTGTTTATCTTTCCAGAGATGGTTTTCAAAACATATGTGGTTTTTGAAATGCAAGGTTTGAAAAACTTTGAAACCTTTTTAAAGGCTTGTAGAATAATTCTGTCCCATTACTTCAATAAATCTTACCTCTAGTTTTGCTTCCAACACTTCCTTACATTTAATGTTATTTAATTTCTCTACTCTATAGCAGGCAACTCTGTGCCTCTGTAGTTTAAGAGATGAAGTCCATGAAGGAGGAATTCAGAAAAAATGAGGCTTTTCCAGAGATTGTGTTGAGAAGAAATGGATACCAGACAACTGTGATCTGGCTGATAGTGAAGAGAGAATGTCCTTTTCCTTCCTACAGTGATTTGACTAAATGACAAGTCCTTTTTCCCAAACATCTTGATAAATTGTGACTATGTGGTGTAAAAATTCATTTTTATGATACTGGTCACAGTGAGACTGAAAATAAACTGTAACTCCAAACATGGGGCTCATGCACAAAGAAGTTATTGACTTTTTCTTCACTGTTCTTATTTAAGTGTCACTTTTATTAGAACAGGCAAGTTTGTGTTTTCTTAGATTGTTAGAGTTCATAGGCTACTACAGACATCTTTCCAGGGAACTCTTGGAAAATGCTAAAGAAATGTTGGAAAGAATCTAACTTGAGCAGCAGGTGATCTGCAGCATAAATTTCTTGCAAACAGCTAAGCGCTGGGAATCACTTTGTTTTAATATCTGATGCAAAATTTTATATAAACAACTGCTGAGTTACAATTAGTGACTAGGGAGAGTTTGTCTCAATTTGGCTACTTTGTATTTTGCTGATTATCATCCACAAAGTCTTGTCTTTCTTTGTTGGCAAATGATTCAAGGAAAGTGATCTTTCCTATTGCTATAATAGCATATTCTGATCAATGGATATAATTTGAAAGTCGTAGAATAAATTAGAACAGAATTAATATCAAATTTTGGGTTGCTTTGGTTTTTGTTTATTTTTTTTTTGTCTGTTTGGTTTTTTTTTCTTTGTTTTGGGTTCTTTTTTTGTTTGCTATTGATAATTCTTATATAATACTAGGCATTTAGAATACTTTATACTTTTATACGTATTTGCATATATAAAAATAATAAAATGCATGTAACTGTTTAAAACTGAAGTAAATTTTCTGTCTTCTGAAACAGGTCAAGAGATTAATTCAGAAACTCATGTTAAAACTCAGCTGAAGTAGCCAATAACATGCTCTTAAAAATCCCTCAGATTAGCATGATTCTTCCTGCTGCAGTGAAATATTGGAGAAGATGGAGTGGTAGAAATGGTATCTATATAAGATGGGATTAGAAATATTTTTTATACACTACAAACAACATATCTCTGAGATCCATATTTCAATGACTTCATTAGAAAATGCATAAATGACACATGAGGATCAAGCCTGGTTTTAGGATCTTGCTCTGCCAGAGATTTTGGAAAACAGGAGTTTAGTGAGAGAAAATGTCTGAAATCGAGCCCAAGAAGAGAATGAAGATACAGAGTTTAAAACTGGTGGAAGGAGAAACATCTGAGGAAGAAGGCAATGGGTCAGACAAGCTGGCAAGCAAATAACTATTTAACAGACAGCATTTAAGAATTTTTAAAAAATTGCTGGATTTTCTTGTTGTACTACATGCTATGTCTTTCACACAAATTGTTTGGCAATAAAATGACAGTGTTTCTGTTTATTTTTTTTCAGATACCTTCTAGGAAAGACCTGTAGTTTTGCCATCTCTGGAATGATATAATTGCTGACCCTGCTATGCCATAGTATATTTTTACTGACAAACATAATGATAAATCAGTAATTTGTGGCATATTTCATTTAGACACTAATTGCCGTTCTAGCTCATTATTGATATTAATGATCCAGTAACTCTAACTGTTAAGGGATGAACAAGGCTGAAATCATGGTTCATAAGCTTGCTACACTTTCAGTAGATTTGAATGAGAATTAGAGTATGCAAATTGGTGGGTAAAAGGGATGGGAGTTTTTCAGCCTTGTTAAATCAATACATTTTATTGGATATCAGTGTTAATTTGGATGTCTGTTTTTATGAGGAGCTGAGCAGTATCCTCGGCTTGGGCACCAGGTGTCAGTCTTGGTGCTGGTAGAGAGGAGAGAGCTTTGAAAGATCCTGTGTGTCTGGATTACTGATTCTTTCCCAAAGAGTTCCTATGATGCCTAGCAATGCACTGGGGAAAAAAAAAGAAAAGGAAAAAGCTGCTTACATATTGGTAACCATACTGTGAATGAACCATGATATTTATTCAGGAACGCTACAAAATTACTGTTGGTGTCCTTCTGCACTTTCGGTCCCCAGCATCCAGCAGAAGAGAAAGAACATGAATTTCTGGACATGATGTTCTCTCCACACAAGTAGTGTTGACATGTTTGATAGAAAAACTTCTTTGAATCATTATTACTTAATGTGCTAAAGAAAGTATAATTTCTTTCAATACAAAAAGAAACCTGAAGGGTTTAATCAAAAAGACAGCATCCACTACAACTCTTTGGAAAGAAAGTGACTTTATTATAGTTTAGTTGAGATACTACCTGACACCTTTGGTTGAATGCAAATATAGTGGTTGGTAGCTAGGAAATACAGTGTTTTAGGTAACTTCTGAACAGTAATTGTTAATTAGCTGAGCTAAAGTATTTGTTCGTAGGTCAGTTGCTGGTTGGTGGACACATTTGGAATTGCCTTCATCAACCATGAAAAAAAAAAAGTACTTTAAAAGTATAAAATATATCAGACAACATGATGTAATTCCACCACTTATTAAGCTTTCCAATAAATGTAAGTTCATATTACAAAATATAGCTTGTGATTCTAATCAGAAATTGTTCCATATTTAAAAGTAATAACCATATGTTCAGTGACTCGATTTGATAGTCTAACAAGACAGTTGGAAGAAAAGATGGAACATCACTCAGATGTTTGAAAATCTTACCCTCCTTCTGGGTCTCCTATATCCCAATGCTTACATTTCATATTACGTAGAGAAAATAATTATTTAGTGAACCTGCCATTTCTCAAACTGAGAACTTCCCTAAGACCTCTGCTCTTTTGTTTCAACCCGTGGATGCTGTTAGATGAATTTGTTTCTTCAAGGTAATAATAAAGTCAGTTGAGAATAAAGCAACTGTCTTAAAAATGTAAGGACATGTACTTTTTGCCAATGTGAATCACTGTTGCATGTATATGTCTCAGGAAGAAGGACTTTTAAACCACATTAAAAATCATTGATATTTGATCAAATTTTCTACTATTAGTATATATATTCTATTGTAAACCACATTTTATTATTCTTAGTTTGCATTGTATATTGTTTTCTCAATCATTGGAGGGAAACAAAATACAAAATATTAGTATTTCATATTAGACTTTTCCTTGTTAGCATCAATGGTTTAAATCATCTTGAACAGAAAACAGTATGGAATTTCCTTGCATGAGACTTTTTAAAAGATAATTAATACTGTAGCTTGGTAAACATGCTATGAAATTTAATAAGCATTTTGATTATCTCATTTGGTGATGTCCTGTGGAGAAACAGAATATGTGATTTCATTCACATATTGACAGTGGGCCTTTCTGAAAACAGCTGATACTGAAAACCCTTCAGACGTCTTGGATTGAGTAAGAAGGGAGACCATAGTGGAGGTCTTTTTATGTCCTCATCTTCATTCTGGTTAGTGTTTATGCTGAAATACATGCAACACTAAAGTTTAAATCTAAAAACCTGGTGATATTTGCAATGTGGAGAAACACAACTCTCTTGCTATTTCCTGTTTGACTCATCTCTTTCCTGATGATTGTGTACAATGTTCCAGTAAAGTCAAGGATAAAAAACAACTTTGCATTGCAAAGGAGATTTGAAACCAAGGATATTTATCTAATGATATTAGTGAGCTTTGGATTCAGTCGACCACTGACTTTCTGTCAATTTTATGTAACTCCATTTAACCAGTTTCTCAGTAATATTTGTGTAATTCCTAAGAAAACACAGGCCTTCTGTCTTTTTTCCCTTCACTATCCTTTCTCAGAAGTTTATCGAGTGTCAACATACATGAAAAGATAGGTGTAAAGATGAGGATGTAGAAGTCTTGAAGATCATTGGCTACTTCATTAATAAGTAGTAGTAGGTAGTAGGTAATAATTACTCCTCAGATGAGGAACAGGATGAACAGCAGCTAATGTGCTGATATTTGAAAATTCAGAAAAATGTGTCATTTCTAGTACTGTTGGAATGCAAAATTTATGAAACATCTTTTTGCTTACCTCTACAAAACTGCTTTGAGACCTCGGTAGAGAGAACTAGTGATCCATCTTTGCATGTATCTAGGAAGTGAGATTTATTGTTTGAATGCATTGCTCTTTCTATATAACATCACTAAGGTCTGCTGCTTCAGCAGCTGCTTCGACCAGTTTCTTTCTGTTATTGTCCTCCTAATCCTCATTCCAAACCAAAAGCCATGAAAAATGGAATGTGGTAAGTTTTAAAATGTTTTGGCAGTATCTGGGATAACTCACTATCTTGTGAAGCACCTCACAAAAATTCACAAAGAATTATTGCACTTTAGAGATCCCGAAGAACATTAAGAAGAATATTAAGGTATTAATACAAATATGGGAAGATTTTTAAAGCTGATTTTCTGAGAAGCAGAATTCTGTCATAAAAAGCAAAAATAAGCCATTCAGAAAAAAGCTGATGGTACCAGTAGAAATGGTATTGTTGTTGGGATGGGGGGTCAGGCCTCAAATTTTTGTTCAGAAGCTGGAAAAAACCACAGGAACCATTATTCTCCATAGTATTAAGAAAAGTGTGTGAAATTAAAAAATGGAGATCTTTAAATAATAGGGGAGATTTCTGAACTAGTCAAAGAGGAAAGAAGGAAATGGCTTTCTCTGATATGTGAGACAAGCAAGCTGTGACTATGCATGAACATCAGGATGAAAATATAATATTTCCCTAGGTGTAAATTTTTGGCTGGCTGAAGCTGTCCTGGCTACTTTGCTGCAATTTTAACTGTGCTAATCATGCATTGGGATTAATGGCTGAGGACACAGAGCTTTTTTAAATGTACCTGAGTTCAAGGCTTATCTTCTCCATATACAAAAGGCTGTAATTCTATTTTCTACAATCAATGAACCATTTATTTTCATCAGCCAAGAAGTGTAAAGATAAACCTTGCAGTGATTAAGCAGTTTTTAATTTTTTTTGTCCATTTGTTCTTTTACTCCCATTACATAAAATGAAGGTGGGTTTCTTTGGTGTTTTTGTTTTTTTTTTTTTTTGATGGGGGGGCATTTGATTGGGCTTTTGTTTTGTTTTGTTTTGTGTGTTTTTTTGTTTGTTTTTTTTTTTTTTTATTTTTATTTTATTTATTTATTTTTTTTAAATTTAGTATAGATGCTTACCTGAATAGATAACTTAGGGACAGAAGAAGAATCATCTGAGAGATGAAATTACATCACTAGCACCAAGAGATGAGTAATTGTAGGAAAACAGGAGGTAAATAGGAGAAAGATTAAACTGTATATGAGCAGATGAGCATACATCAAGGATGAAGGGGAGTAAAGGAAATTTAGAAGAATGTAAATAACATGAGATAACACATGTACATAATTGTGCAGTGTATTTTCTTATTAATGACAGAAAACCTGAAGTGAGGGTTTTTGGTTTGTTTTTTAATAGTTGGGAGAATGACTGGTGGAGAGGTTTTTAAAACATCATAGATGAGAGGTGACAAGACTTGCCATTGTTAAAGATGTACAGGAGAAAGAACTAAAGGAATCTGAAATGACCCATGTATCTTTAATATGGATGAAGATGTTGCAATCTGTTTAAAAGTGCTTTACAGCCTATGGGGATTCTTGACCTAGTCACTGTGACTTATTTTCTCATTTTT